AAGAAAGAAAGAAAGAAAGAAAGAAAGAAAGAAAGAAAGAAAGAAAGGTTATAATGAGAGTGAGGGAGGGTTTCGGGAAAGTCCTGCCTTAGCACTTGGCCACCACAGGTGCCCCCAATACAAGTGATGTTGAGCTGGCTACGCTTACCATGCCCTCCCCCCGGCCATACACATCCCACCCCCCAGCTCTCCAAGGTCAAACACAACCCTGATGCGGTCCTCAATGAAATTGAGTGTGACACCCCTGAGCTAGTTCAACATTTGGCTGTCTACAGAAATCCTCCCAACCTCAGGTAGACTGTTTCGGTGCTCAGAGGCTCTACTATGCTAGACTTCCGTAAAACAACTCTAAACTTCCCAGGGTTTCTCAATCACAACGTTAAATAGACGTATGGACTTCCAATTTCCAGAATTCCTCAGCCAGCGTGCTAGCTGGGGAATTCTGGGAGCTGGAGGCCATATGTCTTAAAAGTTGAATTTGCTCATCTAGTAGGGATTCCCACGCGGCTGAGAGAAATGAGCTGGGTGCTGGGAATTGCAGTAGGTGTGTGTGTGAGAGAGAGAGAGAGAGAGACTAGACAAGATCTCCCCAGGATATCCTGTCTCCGGCGCTGCCTCTAGAATTCTCCCTGACTGCTACCCAGGATTGCAGCAGATTTTATGTAGGGCAAAGCAGGAGTGGAAAGCCGAAAGGGCAGCCACCTCGTCGCATCCATTCCACCCCCACCCACGCCCCACCAGCCCTTGTGCGGCTGCCCAGAGTTTGTCCTGGCACGGAGGGTTCTGTCCGTCTGTTTTTCCAATTAGCTGGCAGGCAGAGGCTGCCGCCAAGAACGGGAGGAAAAGAGGAATGTGGTGTTGCATAAGAGGCAGACAGACAACAGGGCCAGAAAAGGTCAGCAACGTCCATCTGAGTCCTTCATGGCAAATCCAGTTGTCCGCCTGGGAATTTTCACCGTCAGAGTTAAACTGCTCCTGACTGTGGAGGTTCCATTTAGTATGTAGGGCTAAGAGAATTTGCTTCTCTCTCTCTCTCTCTCTCTCTCTCTCTCTCTCTCTCTTTGATTTTTTTTCCCAACAGCTTTTAGCTCTCTTATAATTGTGGCTGGGTATTGTGTAGCCTCGAGAGAAGGCTGCATAGTCCCCCTCTGAACTTTACAGATAGTCCTTGAATAACGATCACAGCTGAGCCCAAAATTCCCATTGCTAGGCAAGACGGTTGTTAAGTGAATTGGTGCCCCGTTTTGCAACTTTTCCGGCCACCGTTGTTAAGTGAATCACTGCGGTTGTTTGGTTCATATAACATGGTTGTTAAGTGAATCTGGCTTCCCCGTTGACTTGGCTTGTCAGAAGGTTACAAAACTGTCCTAAATACGAGACAGTTGCCAAGGGTCTGGATTTTGATGACCACGGGGATGCTGTAACATCGTAAGTGTGTAAAAAGGCAAAAAGCCACTTTTTTACAGGGCCGTTGTGACTTCGGTCACTAAATGAATGGTTGTAAGTTGAGGATTACCTTTATTCTGTGGAAAAATTCAGGTGGAGGGGCTTTTGCTTGATTTACATAAGGACCATTGATAGAAATTGCCACTTCATGTAAAGTCCTTTGCTTGGTATTAGCCCTTTTTCTAGGCCACAAGTTCCCAAACTTGGCCACTTTAAGACTTGTGGACTTCAACTCCCAGAATTCTCCAGCCAAGCTATGATAGGAAGCTCAGAGGTGCTGGCTGGAGAATTCTGGGAGTTGAGGTCCACAAGTCTTAAAGTGGCCAAGTTTGGAGACCTCTGTGCTAGGCCTTGGCCATGCAAGGATGTCTGCAGGGAGGGGTCAAAAAAGTCAAGATGGCAGCTCAACCATGCAATGAAACCCCTCCCCTTCCTTTTTAATATCGGCCACAATGCACATATAAAAGGGAGGGGTTTCAGTCACATGGTCGGGGCCTCTATCTTGATTTATTATTTTTTTTAAATCTCTCTGTTGCCACACTTACCTTGAAGCACAAAACTCCCCAAAGGACCAGAATTTATGCAACTTTCTTGCTCCCCCAAAAAGTATGAGCCAAGGTTAAATGTTTAAATGAAGCCTGTTGTGTTTGGGAAACAATGCTACGCTTGCTTAGAGCAGTGTTTCTCAACCTTGGCCATTTTAAACAGTCTGGACTTCAATTCCCAGAATTCCCCAGCCAGCAATGCCTAGCTGGGGAATTCTGGGAGTTGGAGTCCACACCGCTTAAAGTTGCCTATGTTGAAAAAGGCTGGACTGGGGCTAAAGTTTTCTTTTTGTAACATAGTGACGTGTGAATTCATCTTATTTCACGTGTTAATCGTTCCCTCGGTTACATGAACCCTGCAAGTCACTCATCTCAACCCAGAAGTTCAATGCTTTGCATATGAGCTTGCTCAGGGGTGGGATTCAAATTTTTAAACAACCGGTTCTGTGGGTGTGGCCATGTGGGTGTGGCCATATGACTGGGTGGGTGTGGCTTCTTTCTTTTTTGTTTTTTTTCCCTCCTGGGCCATGTAGCACTCCTCTACGCTCCATTTTTGGGCCTCCTGGTCCTCAGGGAAGCCTCCGGGGGTGTGTGTGTACATTTTTGCTTCCCTGAGACCCAGGAAGGCAAAAAATGAAGCGTGAGGGGAGCGCAGCACACACACACACACACCGCATGTCCCTTTTTGCCTCCTGGGCCTCAGGGAAGCCTCCTGGGCAAAGCAGTAAGACAGCGAGGGGGATCCTGGCACAGCTGATTGTCGGAACAGCTGATCGTTGGGAGGAAAAAAGAAATACCTTAAGGAGTGACTGGTCAGGGAGGGGAGAGGAGAGGAGGGGCGGGCGGAGAGGGGCAGGGCCAGTCAGGGGCGCGATTTGCCAGCACTGCGCAGAATCGTAACAACCAGTTCTATGGAACCGCTCTGAACCGGTAGAATCCCACCTCTTTGCCTGCTGCGATATTTCCCCCAAGCGAAGTCCCTAGCAAGCAAATTTTAGAGGTTAATTTGAAAACACACCAAGTCTCTGTTTGGCTTCCGTTGCAAGGAAAAAGGAAGGTACTTGCAAAGAAAAGACGCGCCTTCGTCCTTCTTACCTGCTGCTTCAGCAGTTCTCTGATTTCTCTCAGTGCCTTGTTGGTTTCTTTCATCTCCGTTAGCATCTGGGGTGAGAGGTCTCCTCCTAGGAAGAGAAGAGAAATGTTAAATGGGTTAAAAACAAAACAGCTTTGGGAAGCTACGTGGCTCTTCTCAAGACTTCCCGCCTGCATATTTTCTTAGCCGGAAGGGTGGAATTTTATTTGTTGCAACCAGTGTGGGCACCGGTTGGGGAAGGCTGAAATTTCAACATGGTTTTTTTTCCCCTCGAGAGCTTGTCTCAAAAGCAGGACTTGATTTACAGGTATTCTTTGACTTATAATCCCAACAGGGGCCAGAATTTCCATTGCCTTGCAAGATGGTTGTTAAGTGGGTCGCATCCAGTTTAACAACCTTTTTGCCATGATTGTTAAATGAACCTGGGCATGCCCCTGACTGGCCCCGCCTCTCTCCACCCACCCCTCCCCTCCCCACCTAGTCACCCCTTAAGGTATTTCTATTTTTCGTCCCGAAGATCAGCTGTTCCGACAATCAGCTGTGCCCAGTTGTTAAGAGAATCATGCGCAGTCCTTAAGCGAATCCGGCTTCCTGCACTGACTTTGCTTCTCAGAAGCTGGCTAGAACAGCCAAATTTTGATCCCATGATGATTCTGCTATGGACGTAAGTACGAGCTTTGGTGGTTAAGTAATTTTTTTCAGTGCTCTTGTAACTTCAGACGGTCGCTATATGAAGAAGGACCACCTGTAAAATGTTTAAAATCTCTGCTTCTTAAATTTTCTTTTCTTCTTGAGGAGAGTAAAAGGTCGGAAGGGCTTGGATTGGGAAAATATCCATATTTGCCCCAGGTTTTCCCAAAAAAACAAAAAGAATTACTGTCAGCGAACCTTGGTTGCTAGTTTTATGTGATTTAATTCTCTGTGATTGAATTTGTAGCCTATCTGTCTCTGCAGAGCAACACTTAAGTGTAGTTTGCAAACTTTTTAAAATAAACAGAGATGTGCAGTTTTCCTTAACCAAATTGGAAGCCAAGGATGAGACTACATTGAGCAACTCCATTTAACTGAGTGCTAAATTCTCACTTTTATTACAAGGGTGCATTTGCACAACAATCCAAGCAGTCTTGGCCCCTTGAAGAAGTGTGGACTTCCACTCCCAGAATTCCTCGGTCAGCATGGCTGGTTGGGGAATTCTGGGAGTTGAAATCCACATGGTTTCAATGTGTGGATATCAATAATTAACCTTCAATCATTTTTCTCTCTTCTCTATCTAGCCCATCTTTTTCCAAAGCCGTTTCAAGCCCTTCCTTGGCCCAAAGTCACCCAGTTGGCTCTTATGCCTTAAGGTGGGACTAGAACTCCCAATCTCCTGGTTTCTAGCCTGATGCCTTAACCACAAGACCAGGGGTGTCAAACTCAAGGCCCAGGGGCGGAGTGCTCACCTGGCCCATGGAACCTCCCTGCCCTGGAAACAGCAAAGGACCGGCCCACGGTGCCTCTGCCCGTGAAAACGGAGCCTGTTTTCTCTGGCAGATTGCTTGGACCACCACAGGAGCCCCTGATATGAGTGATATTGAGCTGGCCAGGCCCCCCAAGCTTCTCCCAGGTCAAACACAATCCTAATGCAGCCGTCAATAAAATTGAGTTTGACATCCCTGCACTAGACCGAACCAGTTGTCACCTTGCCTCCATTTTCGTTCTTCTGCCTCTTTTCTAGTGCCACAATATCCTTTTTGAGATGCTCTGCACTCAGTAACAGATAGTAACAGATAATCAGAGTGGGAAGGGACTTTCTGGGTCATCTAGTCCAACCCCCTGCCCAAGCAGGAGACCCTACACCATTTCTGACAGATGGGAGTCCAATCTCAAGTGATGGCGCTCTCACAACTTCCAAGGGGAAGTTGTTCCATGGGTTGATTGTTCTCACTTGTGTGGGTGTGTGATCTTGTGTGGTTCCTAGCTGCAATTCAGGGGTTCAGAGGTGAAGGGGAGATCTTTTGTGCACACAACTACTTGCCCTAGAAGAGCAACTTTAGCCCTAGTTAGGTTTGGCAGCTTTGATCCTCCTGGCTTGCAAAGAAAATGGCTCAGCAATATCTTTCTCCTACGTGTGGGTTCCTATTAAGACAAACACCTCCCTGTAAAAGCTGCAAAATGTATATTTGCTCTTCTGCTGCCAAGCTCCTGGAAAAAGCTGTTCCAGCCTCAGAAATGCAGAGTGTCTCTTCTAGGTCACAAGGAAGCAACATTGCTCCATCAAGGTATTTATTATACAGGGATGGGGCTGCTTGAGGTTTGCAGGGGTTCAGGAGAGCCCCTAGCTAACATTTTGTGAGAACCCTCAAGTCCCACTCCTAGCTGGCCCCACCCCTCGCCTCCCCTCCCCGGAGTCCCCACACAGCCCATTTTGGATGCAGGTAAGTACAGGGTGCGTGCGGAGGCTCGGGGAGGGTGAAAAACGGGCCTCCTGGAAGTTTGGGAAGGCCAGAAATGGGCCTGTTTCTGACTTCCAGAGAGCCTCCGGAGCCTAGAGAGGCCATTTTTGCCCTCCTGGAGGCCCGAGGAAAGCCTCTGGAGCCCAGGGAGGGCAAAAATGTCCCCCCCCCCCCGTTGCGGTGCAGGAGGCTGATTAGGCCACGCCCACCATGGCCACGCCCACCCAGCAACCGAGCAGAGACCCCGTTGCTAACATTTTTGAAGCCCACCCCTGTATTTATATCCTGTTATTTCTCTGAAAGCAAAGGGCTGCTTTGGGACACAGGGCAGCTTCTCATTTTATTCCCACAACAACCCTGTGAGGGAGGCTGCGCTGAGAGAGAAGGTGTAGACTCCTTCAAAGCTGCCAAGAAAGTTAACAAGCTGCTTACTGCATTTCCATGCAGGACTAAATGGGCTCAAGTTCCCCATTATTCTGGTCCTTTGGTTAAAATAACAACTTGGAACCGTTTTACATCCTGCAATGATACCTTTGACATCGTCAAACAACAACTTCTGCCTATCCCAGGTTCTTGGGAAGGACTCAAAAAGCTGACAAAAATGCCAAATCCAGTCCAAATATCTGGCCAACTGTGCAATGAACCATAACTATAATAGTAAAGAAAAATTGGTAGGAACATAGAGTTGCAAAAGTACTCAAAATGATCAGGTTAAAATATTGAGGGATTTCCAAATACAAATGGATAAAGTTTGGTCTCATAACAGACCAGATTTAACTGCGGTTGAAAGGAAGAAAGTGTGGATAATTATTGTGGCATTAGCACGAAATGATAGAACAGAAGATAAAGAATTAGAGAAGATCACAGAGTATCAAGATGTGAAAATCAAAATGGAAAAATTATGGCATGGTGGTCACAGGGCTTATCGGTACACTGGGGGCTATGCCATAATTTAGAAAATATTAAGAAAATGTGTACACTGACAACATTTTCATTGGTAATTACAAAAGGCTACACTGCCTGGATCCACACATCAACTATGCTGATACATTACAACACACTAGTTGTATAGGAAGAACTGAATGCGTATGAAACTGAATGCCAGCTAAAGGATTGGTTGTGGTTTTACACTGCTATGAACAGACAATAATGTGGTTATTTGGTTTGCAACTGCAGAAAATGGATTAATTCTGGAACATGCGGTACACGTTGTCCAGAAAAACTGGTTTATGGCACATGGGGAGTTTTTTTTCAGGAATAAATTAGATCTGATATTGAAAAACATCCTTAGAAAGGGCTTTTTTTTTATAGGATCTTTATTAGCACAATGCATCTCATTTGATTCTGATCTAGCCCACTTTGTCCAGGTCTGTTCCTGAATAAGTCACTAACGTCTGAAGAAACGTTAGCAATAGGCAAAAATGAACACAGTAACGGTGCATTGCGTTTACTAAACCTGCATTTCTCAACTTGGGAACTTGAAGAGGTGCATCCCAAGAGGCAACTGGACTTTCTGCTTTTTTCTTTGAAGATGTTTCGCTTCTCATCCAAGAAGCTTCTTCAGCTGAATTTGAAATCCTTCTGTAATTTGTGACACACACACCCCCCATGAAAAAAAAATCCATTAATACTTCTAGCATTGATGATGTTACCTAGCTGAGTAATCCCAGAGGTTCTTTTTCAAAAGGCAGCTGGACTTTGGTTTTGCTTTGAAGATGTTTCCCTTCTCATCCAAGAAGCTTCTTCAGTTCAGTTGAACTCGCTTCTTGGATGAAAAGCGAAATGTCTTCAAGGAAAAACAAAGAAAGTCCAATTGCCTTTTGAAAAAGCACATTTGAGACAACTGTGACTGGATGTCTGAGAATCTCCATAGACACTTGAAGAGGTGCGTATTTCAACTCCAGCCGGCCTCTGGGAGTTGAAGTCCACACCTCTTAAAGTTCCTAAGGTTGAGAAACATTGCATAGGTAGTCCTCAACTTCCAATCATTTGTTTAGAGACTGTTCGAAGTTACAACGGCACTGAAGAAAGCGATTTATGGCCAGGGCCTTGCACTTATAACCATCAGAACCTCTCCATGGTCACATGATCAAAATCCAAGTGCTTGCCAACTGGCATGCACTTATGACAGTTGTGGCATTATGTGATCATATTTGCGACCTTCCCAGTCGGCTTCCAACAAGCAAAGTCAATGGGGAGAAGCCAGATTCTCTTAATGACTGCATGATTCACTTAACAACTGCAGGGGTTTGTTTCACATCTGTGGCAAAAAAGGCCATAAAATTGGGTGTGGCTCATGTAACAACCACTTTGCTTAGCAACAGAAAGTCTGGTCGCAATTGTGGTCCTAATTCAAGGACTAACATGGCAAAGACCTTGAGCAAGGAGATGGATGAGCCACAAGGTCCCTTCCAACTTTGTTAATCTGATTATTAGATCATTAGTTTGCCTGGTTGCGTGAAGACAGCAGTTAGCAGGCAGCTGATATCCACTGAGCATTCAACCTTTCCTCTTCTCTCAATTTCCAAGTAATATTACCACCGAACCTTGTAACAAGGAGTTCCATGTACATAGAATAAGATAAGGAAGATAGGAACAATCTTTTTTTCTTTGCTTTCCGTTTCTAAATTTTATTAAATTCTTATTTCTGCCCAAATCTGGATTAATTTCCTAAATTTTTGTAGGTACGTGAGTTGTAAAGTAAGGAGAAAATTACAAGAATATGTAGTTGTATATAATTATTAACGGTACTTACATTGTAGCACGTAAGTTGTTCATTGGATATATACAATTAAATATTGTGTGACCATTAAGTGTAACAAAAGTACATGACTGAAACTCAAAAGTTTAACTTCGGAACACAACTCTCCGCATTAAGGCTTCTGCCAGACTTTGAAAGAGCCAAATCATAAACTTCGATATCAGCAAGAGAAGCTACAGCGTAATCCTTTAAATGTATATTTACTTGCTACCTTAAGCATGTCTGTAAAACTTGGAATCAATAAAAAGGCAAGAGAATTTAATAAGAAAACAAGCAAATAGGTAGAGGGGAAAAAAAAAAATCCAACCCCCAGAACGAAGTTCAGATCTATAATTCTCTGCCTGGAAATTTGAAATTGTTTTCCAAAATTAAGCCCTGGAAGGGACTTCAAGGTTTTCTAGTCTTAACTCCTTGCTCAAGCCAGAGACCCATGCCATCCTGATTTTTGGATGGAACAACCACAACTCGAGGGAGCAAACCATCCATTGATTAATTGTCCCGTCAAAAAAATGTTCCAGGTTGGATTCTAATTAACAAACTTCTTCCCATTATTTCTTGATTTGTCCTCTGCTTTGGACAATAATTTGATTTCCTCTCGTTTGTGACAGTCTCTCACGTACTGGACAGTTATGCCCCCTCATCCTTCTCTAGCTAGGCATACTTAACAGGGGATGGACTAGAAGATCTCCAAGTTACCTTCCAGCCTTATGATTCTAGGTTCTATAATTGAATTCTACTTACCTCTCCCACCAGGCATTTGACCTGATGTATAAGAGACGAAGGCCAGCACGCAAAGGAAAACTCCAATGTTCCTCATTTTCAGAGCTTATGAAACTTAAGGGTGGCCCCGTACCTTTTTAAATATTCTCTCCACACACACCCCCACCCTGCGCTTAAGAAAAAAAAAAAAGATTTGGAATTAGTAAACCTGAATAGTTCACCTCTGCTGCCCCCATGAAACATTTTGTGGTTGGCTATTTATGAAGCCGCATTCCGCTCAACTGAAGTTTTCTCCCTTCTGATGGAGACGTCATTTCTGGCTCTTGGGGTTTTTTGCGGGGGGGGGGGGGGGGGGGGGGGAAAAGAGAGACAGAGAATTTCTTAGAAAAATAAACAGAATGAGAAAAGCATTAAGGAAAACGGCCTGCATTGATTATACAGTGAATGTACAGGGAAGGGGGAAGAGGAAGAATGATGTATGACATTGCAATTCAATTCCAGGCAGACATCAAAGAAAACTCTTTCTGAATTACAGCAGATTTCTTTTTATATATATATAAATATATATAATGAAGTTTTTCCTCCATAGCAACCTTCAGGACAATCTTTAGCATTTTTCTCCTTGAATAACCTCATTCGCTCTCTGCTCTTCGTAAGCTGTTTCGGGACGGGCTGAACAGAATAAGAGAATTGGAAGGGACCTCGGAGGTCTTCTAGTCCAACCCTCTGCTCAGGCAGAAAAACCTATAGCATTTCAGAGAAATAGTTGTCCAATCTCTTCTTGAAAACCTCCAGTGTTACAGTATCCACAATTTCTGGAGGCAAGTTGTTCCACTGATTAATTGTTCTAACTCAAGAACATTTCTCCTTGGTTCTTGATTGGTTCTTTCCTTGATAAGTTTCCACCCATGGCTTCTTGTCCTGCCTTCAGGTGCTTTGAAGGATAGCTTGACTCCCTCTTCTTTGTGGCAACTCCTAAGATATTGGAAGACTGCTGTCATGTCTCCCCTAGTCCTTCTTTTCATCAGACTAGCCATGCCCAGTTCCAGAAACTATTCTTAATATATTTCAGCCTCCAGTCCCCTATTCATCTCTGTTGCTCTTTTCTGCACTCTTTCTAGAGTCTCAACATCTTTTTTCCATTGTGGTGACCAAAACTGGATGCAGTATTCAAAGTGTGGTCTTACTAAGGCATTGTAAAGCAGTATTAACTCTTCGCGTATCTTGATTCTATCCCTCTGTTAATACAGCCTACGACTCCATTGGCTTTTTTGGCAGCTACAGCCCATTGCTGGCTCATATTTAAGTGATTGTCCACTAGGACTCCAAGATCCCTCTCACAGTTGCTACTATTGAGCCAGGTACCATCTATACTATACCTGTGCATTTGGTTTTTCTTGCCTCACTTTTTTCATTGAATTTCATTTTGTTAAATAGCACCCAATGTTCAAGTCTGTCAAGATCCTTCTTTATCTTAAGCCTGTCTTCTGGGGTGTTGGCTATTCCTGCCAGCTTGGTGTCATCTGGTCTCATCTCTCCCAGAGGTGGTATTCTGACCAGTTCTGGAGAACCGGTAGCGGAAATTTTGAGTACTTCGGAGAACTGGCAAATACCACCTCTGACTGGAGATTTTACAATATCTTTCCCCTGCTACGCCCACAGAACTGGTAGTAAAAATGTTTGAATCCCACCACTGATCTCTCCCGTTAAACAATGCTTCTCAACCTGGACTTCAACTCCCAGAATTCAGCTTAAATCTGCCAAGATTGAGAAACATTGCTCTAGTCTAAAGCAAGGGTCTTCAAACTTGGCAAGTTTAAGACTTGTGGACTTCATCTCCCAGAGTTCCTGAGCTAACAGGACTGGAGGAGGAATTCTGGGAGTTGAAGTCCACAAGTCTTAAAGCTGTCAAGTGTGAAGACCCCCTGCTCTAAAGAATATAAACATCTTGTTTGTTTTCAATCAGAACTAAATTGGTAAGGTTGACAAACACTGGTCTAGAATAAAGAATGGTAATTTATGGAATATCTTCTTAACAGATCCTGCGTAGAAGGGATCTTTGATTTGGGTAACTCTGTGGATCATAAAATCATCATTTTCCTCAGGCCACATCTTTGGACTGAAAAGCAACTGAACAACCAGGAAAATTCAGCGAGGCCAACGGGCTTCCTTGTTTAATCATCAAATTTATATGGCTGCCCATCTCATGGACAAGCCACTCATTTTTTATTCCTTGGTAAGTGGTTTGTGATGAGGAAAAGGACTGATCCTGATAATGGGATGGAAGTTATCTTTTTGGGTGGTCACAGAGCAGAGGGCAGGATATGGTCAAAAAAGTCAAAATGGCAGTCACACTGGTGTGCCCGTTTCTCTTCCTGTTATATGTTTAAATAATCTATCTTGGTTACATTAAACAAGAAAAAGCTGGTCATTTCAAGAGGGATGGACCAACGTTTCTTCCAGTTCAGTGTCAAGAATCATAGAATGGTGGAGTACAAAGGAACACAAAAGATCATCTAGTCCAACCAGGTGTGGGATTTTACAGCTTCGTACATATTCACTAGAACCGGTTGTTAACATTCTAAGCAGTTCTGGTTGTTAGAAGAAATTACTGGCCTAATCCTGTAAGGAAGGCAGGAAGGAAACAGTCTGGTGTTGCTTACAGAAACTGCCTCTCCGTTGACCCTTAATACATTCTTGGCAGGACTAGACTTCCTGTCTCAGGAACATCTCTGGAGTTTTTTCCCCTCCTTTGCTGGTACTTTGCTTATGTGGAGCGACCATTCAAAGTTACAGTGGCACAGGAAAAAGTGACTTATGACCATTTTTCACACTTACGACTGTTGCAGCATCCCCACGGTCATGAGAGGCCAGGCGAGGAGATGCGTGCCTCGATGTGAGTGATATTAAGTTGGCCACGCCCAGCCAGTCACATGACCACCAAGCCATGCCCACCACATAAGCCACGCCCACAGAACCGGTTGTTAAAAAAATTGAATCCCACCCCTGAGTCCAACCCTCTGTGAAGTGCAGGAAAATGAACTCAACCACCTAAGAGGTGGCTATCCAGTCTCTTAAAGATTTCCAGAAATGGAGCGCCTACTCTCCTTAAGGGCCTAGGAGCGGGGTGCCAAACTCAAGGCCTGGGGGGGCAGATCCATCCCATGGGGTGCTTAGATCTGGTGCACGGGACTGCCCTGGAAACAGCAAAGAACCAGCCTGTGGTACTTCCGCCAGCGAAAACAGAGTTTGGAGGGCTGCATACAGCTGACAGGTAGTGGGAGTGTGCCTCCGTTGGCTGTGGAGGAAACTGGGGAAGGGCAAAATCCGGCTAGGCAGAGCAGGGGAGAGGTAGAACAAGGGAGAGGGAGTTCAGAGAAAGACCTGGACCCACCTCCTCTTCATCCTAGGGCACGCAGGGAGGAACAGAGAAGAGAGCAACGTGACTTGCGTGGCTTACGGGGGAGGAAAGGGCCCTGATTCCCTTCATTAGGCACACCTGGGAAGAGAGTTTAAAAGAGATGCAAGCTGAGAGTGGCAGCTGCTGGGAACAAACATGAGCTTATCTTGTGTTGACTTTGGTTATCTACGTTCCTGGCGTCTTCCCAATTGGATTGAATTACTGCCATTCCTTCTCTTGCCCTGCCAGACTAATTACCTCATCTTGCCTTGATTGGACTTATAGTTACAGTTTTTGTTGACTTGATTCTCTGCAGCCAAAGGCTGTTCCTGGAATAGTTTTTCTCCAGCCAGAAGGTAACCAGGACATTGGGGGCAAAGTTGGAGCTAATTAAAGGGACTCCTACTGATTATCTGACTGTGTTGCCTTTGTGCCATGCCCTGGGTCATCGCACGTAGTTGGATATAGTTCCCGCCATGAGGAAGTTTTTCCTTAAATACTTGGTTACAAGTGATTACAGAGTCAATTACCGTGTGAGAAGAGCAGAAGTATAAATCTGAAAAATCGAATAAATAAAAAATACTGTCGTATTTTTCAAGGTTCGTGACAAACGCTCCTTATTGGATTATCTTCCTGAACCTTCGGATTATATCGTTTCCTCTCTTTTTCCTGTCCAGAATGAACATTCATTACCCTCAATTCCCCATCAAGCAAATTCTGAAATTCCTTCTTAGAACAGTCTTGAAATCCTGACGCATGACTGCAAATGGGGTTTCTGCCACAAATTCCAGCTGGCTCCCAGTCTTTCTCCAGAATTAGCAAATGATCGTTCTGAACTGTTTCTCGTTGGCAAGGTTTAACCCTGACTGTTTTATCAATGATTTTACTGTCCTTCAGCTTCCACGACCTCATGAGATGCAAAGGAGGCTGAACAGAGTGGTCTATTTTTTTTACCCAGGGATGTAAAAGAAATCAACTACAGATGCCTTTTAGCTGAAATGCCTGGAATTTGCTGGTGCCTCTCCTTAACAATAACATTTTAGGACCAGAAAATTGCACCAAAACACAATCATAAATAGCAACAGCACTTAGACTTCTATACCACTTCACAGTGCTTTACAGCTTTCTCTAAGCCAAGGGTCTTCAAACTTGGCAAGTTTAAGACTTGTGGACTTCAACTCCCAGAATTCCTGAACTAACGTGACTGGAGGAGGAATTCTGGGAGTTGAAGTCCACAAGTCTTAAAGCTGTCAGGTTTGAAGACCCCTGCTCCAAACGGTTTAGAGTCAACCTATTGCCCTCAAGAATTTTGGGTCTTCCTCATTTTACCCACCTCAGAAGGGTGGAAGGCTGAGTCAACCTTGAACTGGTGAGATTTGAACTGCCAAATTGCAGTCAGTGGCCGTCAGCAGGAATAGTCTGCCTTCTAACCACTGCATCACTGTGGCTCATAGAAGTTCCATTTAATAGCAGCGCAGGAGAGCTGATATACAGGTAGTCCTCAACTTACAACCACAATTGAGCCCAGAATTTCCATTGCTAAGTGAGTTTTGCCCCATTTTATGACCTGCTTCACCACAGTTGTTAAGTGAATCACTGCTGTTGTTCAGTCACATGGTTGCAAAGTGAATCTGGCTTTGGCATTGGGTTTGGTTGCCAGAAGGTCACAAAAGGTGGTCACATGCCC